TTTGCCAATGTACCTAACCTATTTAATCTAATTGATTTGTTATCAGGTTGGAGCACTGATCGAATAACAAAACGTTAACAAAAAAACCCATACGAAAACAACAACAATAATCGCAAAGTACAATAACAAATGTAAAAACACAACAACAAAAAACCTGCAGCCCCAATATAAACAAATGGAAAAAAATGTTGTGTGTTTTTATTATTGGCCCTAATACTCGAAGTAGACTACAGTGATAGCAAAACAAAAAAATAATAAAAATTCTAGAAGAATCACTAAATGTGGACAAATATTTCAATTGCTTTGTATTTAAATAGAAAATAATAACATAAAAAAATAAATAAAATAAAAAAGTGTAACCTTTTTTTGCCAACCCCCTCGGAGCCAAGGAAAATATTTTTTTCTATTCAAATTCCAATTTCAAACCAAAAACAAAAATGTGTTCCTTTTCGCCTCCATAAAGTCTACTCTACCCCCAATCCATATTTAAACCACTGTTCACACTATGTAATTGCAACAACAACAACAAGTAGCCATCCGTAATCAGACATTAATTACAATAACAAAACTAGTCATTCAGTACAGACATGCCCTGCACATTAAAAAGGTATGAAATTGAAAATGAAAAAAGAGCAACAACAACAAACAAAAAATAATAATAATAATGACGACGACGGCGACGGCGATGTGAACACAACAATTATTTATAGAAAATATGACAAGTATTCAAACGCCAGCCAGTCAGCCAACCATTCGACCAACCTAGGTTCCACCACACCACCTCCCAACATGAACATTGATTTTTTTTCTTTGTTGTTGTTTTTCTATGTTTTTTTTACAATTCCAAAGTCCGAAGACTCCACAATTTTTGCTGAGCTCATCTTTGCTTCTTTTCGGTGCCGTTTTTGTGGTTGTTGTTAATATTCCGGAAACAATAAAAAAAAACAAATGCATCATCGGAATTTGTAGCCAATACGACGACGACAACGATCCGATTGATTACCGTTAATAGGTGGTAAATTCGGAACGAACAGTTAATGGCAATTTATTGGAGGGTTAATGGTTACCGAAATGCCAAATGTGGGAATACAAATTAAAGCCGCACTTTTGGGTTTGGAGGGCAAAACAAAAAAAGAAATAGAATAATTTTCTAGGTTAGGTTGAAGGTCCCACTTTTAATATTTAATATATAAATTGTATTGTAAAGTGTAGTAAATTCAAATTATGTATTTAATAGGTATCAAGAATTTATTAAAAAAATATTTAAAAAAAAAGTTTTTATTATCTAATAAATCTTCGGAGTTCGAAAAATATTTTTTTATTAAAAAAATTAATTCGAAAAATATATTTTTATTAAAAAAATTATTAAAAAATCCAGACATTGGGAATCTTGAAAAATATTTTTATTTAAAAATTATAAGAACGCTTTGGGAATCAAGGAAAATATTTTTATTACATTTTTTTAAATCAACGCTTGGGAATCATGAACAAAAAAAATTAAAAATCCAGGTCTGGGGAATCCTAAAAATAATTTGTTCCCTTAAACAATTTTAATAATATAGAAAAAAAATTATTTCCATAAATTTAAAAAAAATAATATTAAAAAATAAAAAATATTTATTTTGAGAAACTTGAAAAAAAAGTTTTAATCCACTCCTTGGGAAACCTGAAAAAAATATAATTTAATTATTTTTTTACAAAAAAAATATTTATTTTAAAAATCCACGCCTTGAGCAACTTGAAATATTTTTTATTAAAAAAATATATTTTTAAAAATCCATTTTTGAATAATATTTTTTTATTTAAAAAAAAATATTTTTAAAAATCCACGCATTGAGAAACTTGAAAAATATTATTTATTTAAAAAAAATTATTAATTTTTTTTATTAAAAACAAATATTTTTGTTAATGTATGAGTCTTCTGAATTTAAAAAAAAAAAAAAAAACTTTATTAAAAACCAAAAAAACATTTTTATTTTACAAAATTAATGTCTGATGTTAATAAAAATATTAACAATATTTATTTTTATTATTTTACGTCTTTAAAAAATATTTTTTCCCTTTTTTTCTTAAAAATAAAAATCCATTTTTTTAACTCTTGCCTAAATTTCCAGGATTTTTTAGTAATTATGTTACCTTTATTTTGTGTTCCCAGAATTTATTATTTTGTATAGAAAAAAATATTGTGTATTTTTTTATTTTTTTTTTTTATAAATTTTAATTTTTTATTTTTTTTTTTCGTTCTTTCAATTTTTGTAGCTTCAGTTAGGAATTCATTCTTTGTTATTGAAAAAATATTCACTTGTAAAACTATTTTAATATTTAAAAATGATTTTTGTATAAAGAACAAATTATTTTTATTGGTAACATATTTTTATAAAAAAAAACAAATGAATACATGTTTTTATTAAAAACTATTGTATTGCATATTTCTTAATAAAATACAAAGTTATGAATTATTTTTTATCGTTTATTTATTTTAAGAAAAAAATATTTTTTATTAAGAAACTATTTTTTTTTTTGTTAAAATATTTTTTAAGTACTTTTGTTTTGTTGGTTTTTTTTTTTTAAATAAGAAAAAATATTTTTTAAAAAATTCACACCGTTTGTTTTAATTTATTTTTATCTTTTTAATAATCACCCCACCCTAATCTATCACAATGGAATAATTCCATGCACGTTTTACTTTCATTGAATTCCTTAATTTGTTTTTTCGTTTAGTTTTCGTGAAACAATTAACAGTTGTTTAACAAACAATTTCAGTATAATTTCCTTTTTTTGCCTGTCTTTTCTTGATGATGATTTCAACAGACAATAATTTTTTCTACATATTTCAGGGTTGTATTTCTGTGTATTGTATATATTTATTGTTGCTATATTTTGCAATTGCTTAAATAAACAACAAAAACAACAGAGAAAAAGTGATGATCACACCAGGCAGCAGCAGCACAAAGAAAACACAAGGCCATTCGAAAATGAAAAAAAAAAATAAAAATAAAAAACAGTAAAATATATGACTCCTACACACAAACAAAACGGTGCTACTCTTCACACATTTGGCGGCTCTTGTTATTATACATTCTCCTACACTAGCACTCTCTCCAATTCTCCTCTTTTGTTGGGGGAGAAATCAAAATTGTGTTGGTAGTCATTGTAACGATAAACAAGGATTGTTGTATGCCAATTCACCAGACACAAGCAATGAATGCCACATATTACTCTCTGTCTCACTCTCCCCAACTCACACATTTGGGGAATTTCTGTTTTTGCATTTTCTCTCATTGCCACCAAATTAATATGTATTGTTGTTGGGCAATGAAACAAAACAAGGATTGCTGTATGCCGCTTTACTACACAAGCAACGGTGTTATGACTACATTTTTTTATTTCACTATACTACTCACACAATTGGGGATCTCTGCTTTTGCACCCCCACTCCCGCCAAAATGTATAGAACAAAACAAGGCTTGTTGTAAGCCCTTTAAATCAGGAACAGACAGAGTCGTTTTAAACAGTCAACGATGGTATACAACTATTCACTTTACACTCACACAGATGGGTCTCTCTGTTTTGGCACTCTCTCTCCCCCTCTTTGTAATGATCAAAATGCCCTAAGACCATCAATATGTATAAACAAAACAAGGATTGCTGTATGCCATTTAAATCAGGAACAGACAGAGCCGAATTAAACAGTCAACGGTTCTATAGTAACTATTCACTTTACACTCACGCAGCTGGGGCTCTTTGTTTTGGCACTCTCTCCCCCTCTATGGCCTAAGTACACAAACAACGGATGCTTTGATTTCTCTTCTCTTTACACTTCCATAGTTGGGGCTCTCTGTTTGTGCCTGCTTTCCCTCTTCCCCCAGCTGTGGTAGAAATCAATAGGTCTTGTTAAGCAGTAAAACACAACAAGGACTGTGAATGCAAGCACCGTGCATGTTTTTGCTCTCACACAATTGGGGCTCTCTGTTTGTGCATGCTCTCCCCCTCTCCTACCATTAATAGAAATCAATAGGTCTTGTTAAGCAGTGAACCACAACCAGGACTGTTTTATGCAAGCACTGTGCTTTTTTCTTGCACTCACACAGTTGGGGCTCTCTGTTTGTGCATGCTCTCCCCCTCCCCCACCTGTGGCAGAAATCAACATGTATTGTTATGCATTGAAACAAAACAAGGATTGCTGTGTGCCATTTACTACACAAACAATGGATACTACTTTACCGTTCTGTTATGTGGGGGCTCTCTGTGTTTAACTCTCTGCTCTCACACTTTCTCCCACTGTTTGGAGAAATCATAATACAGTGCTTTGCATTGAAACAAAACAAGAAGATGATGGCATGCCGTTAACACAAACAACGGCATGCATACATACGTTCCCCTACTTGGGGGATCTCTCTGTGTTGAACTCTCTCTCACATACGAACTTCCTCTGTCTCTCTCTCGTCATTTAACGAAGAAATAAAGCAATGTTGATATTGATTGAAACAAAACAAGGATTGTTGTGTGTCGAGAAGCCAAAATGATGATTTGTTTTTTTATTGCTGTCTCTCTCTCTCCCTTACTCTCTCTCTCCATCTCCATGTGTTGTTTATTATTGCATTATAAAGTAAAATAAACACAACCAAGGATAATTTCATTTTCATTGTGGTATATATATTTTTTTGTTTCGTTTTCTTTTTTTGTTGTTGTTGTAGTTGTTGCTGTTTTACACATATACATACATATAAAGGTTTAACATCATATACAAATAGGCATAAAATACAATTAGAAATTAGAAAAAAATTATATTAGTTTGGTTTTTTTTCATAACAACAAAGCAAAGGTTATTTTGATAACTTGTTTTTGCAATAATTAATAATAATAAAAAAATGGTAATCGTTAAGGGGACTTTTTTTGTTGTTGCTGTCGTTAAGTTATGTTGTTGTGTAGAGGGGTTTGGGGACTTTTTTTCGAAATTCGTAAAAATTTGTTGCTCGGTTTTATTTTCTATCGCGCGCTCTCTCTCAGAGTATGTAATTCTTTTGTTTCTCCGTTGGCAACGTTTTATTCACAAACGAAACTATGGCAGAGGCTGGCTGATTTATGGCCAAATCACAGAAAACATGACACTGATTATCCTTCGAACTTGCCGAACGTCGAGCCACAAAAGCAAATATGGTTTTCTTCAAGGCACCCACCACGGTGGTATTGTCATTACCATGTTCCTGCATTGTCCACAAACGATGATCGGGATCTATGGCACAGTAGGATATAATATCGGCCGTATAATGTTTACGGAAGAATTTTTTACGTGTATTATCCGTCAGTGTTATACCCTGATGGCTAACTTTGAAATGGACCTCGGTGGGTGTCACCTTATTACCGGGAGCATTCATTTGCCGTATGGCCTTGCGGATGGCCTCTTCGCCAGTCAGAGATTCTGTGTCACATGAAAATAGCCACAAGACATTACAGGCGGCACCTTGTGTTAGCAATTGTGTTTGGGCGGGACTGGGCTCTATCAATGGCTGGACAATATCACGTTCGGGAATTTGCAGCAGGCAGGGTAGGGCCAATTGATTTATGGAGTGTTCATAGACCAAGGCGGAGAGGGAGGTGAACACGGGCTCATTGGCACAGCCCTTGAGGCGTACACCACGCGTTGTGGGTTCTATGAGGAAGTGGCGTACCAATTCATCGGGTTTGCCGGTGGATTGGGTGCCGGGTGGGGGTTGGGCCACCCTTAATACAAGACCATAGGCATTTTTATAGGTGGTGGAATCGCGTACCACAAAAGTGCCAGGTGGTGCATTAAGCAACAATGAAATTGCCTCCTCCCGTGAGAGATTGGGTTTATACCAAAATTTCGATGAATCTTTGGCAAATTTTACCAAATGTGCCGCCACCTCCTGGGGTTCGCTGTTGGCCATGGAAAGACTGGAATTTAGCCTGGGTCTATAATTGCTGCCATAAATTGTTTCCGTTGAATAATTTTGTATCTCGGTGGCGGTGCCGGAGGAATTTTGTGGAGAATAGCCGTTGGTACGCAGTGTGGCGGTATTATAGCCATTGAGGCCAATTGTGGCACTGTTACTGTTGCCGGTGGCAAAGGGGGTCCGAGGGGTAACAGGAAATGCTGGTGTCTCTGGTCGAATTGTGCCATTTGGTGAGCCAGTGCTGGCTTGATAATCCGTAATGCTTAACATGGCCATGGAAGAGGTGGCAGCATTTTGTTGTTGTTGCTGTTGGAGTTGCTGCTGTGGTGTTGGACTGCGATATAATGGTGTTGTTGTGTTGGCCGTTGTCGTTGTTACCTTTTTGGTACTGGTGGCATAAATAGGTGACGACTCTCTTCTTCTGGCCATTTGTGGTGTTGTTGCTCCGGCTGCCGCCGCTTGACCAATATTGTTGGCCATTTCGTGCTGATGCTGCTGCTGTCCATAAATCTGACCATTGCCATATGGAGCAGCCTGCTGTTGATCATAACGATTTGTGCGTAGCGTTGATGTTGTTGTTGTAATGCTGGTCAAGTTGTTGTTGCTGTGGTTAGCCTCTAATGGTATAGACCTGTTGTTGTTGGCATAGTGATGTCGTTCCTCATCATAAGGCGTAGCATAAATATCCGACGACATTGAGTTTGGACTTATGGCCTGGCGATTGTGTGAGGCTGATGCTGCCGTTGTTGTTGTTGTGTGATAATTACGTTCCACATTGTATGAGGCCAATGGAATGTTGCGTGTTTCATACAATTGTTGCTGCTGCTGCTGTTGCTTCTCTTGATACTGTTCATAGCCACGATTATCCATTGCGGGACGCCTTCGTAAAATATCACCATCCGGTTCATCGCCATAACGCTGACTCGATGCCGAAGTTGTCGTGGTGGTCATATAACGATCCAATGTTTGATGCTGACGCCGATTGTCCAAATTTTCCGGTGAGCGATAACGCTGCGGAGACCGATCCAATGTTTGGCTGGTGGTTCGGCGCCTCAGATAATCCCCGCCGTCTCGGTTGGCGTCTTCACGTTCATCCAAATTAAGATTGAATTGGAAATCGTAATTAAATTTCCCTGGATTGCGTTGAGGCACCTGCGGCCCCTGATGCTGGGAGTAGGAGGACATTGAGGAACCTCGCCCATTATTTAAGGAGGGCGGCAGGGTAGATGGCAGCTGTACGGTGCCATTGACAAAACGCCTTGGCGGTGGCAAGGGGGAACGATTGGGTGGAGGTGTGGCAGCCAACACCTCGTGGGTTGTGGAACGATATTCGTTGAAAACCTTCTCACGACGTTCACGCAGCAATTCATCGAAATCATGGCGAGCAGGGGTTTTTGTTAGTGTGTCAACGCCATATGTTGGTGTATTGCGGCCATAAATGTTGTGGTTGTTGTTGCTGCTGCTATTGCCATTACTGAAATTGCCATTTAAGCCATAGATGTTGTCTCCAATATCTGCACCACCACTGTTGCTGCTATTCTTATTGCCATAACTGTAGTGGTAGGTATTTGCAATGGTGTTGGTTGAGGAGCGCGTAGGTGATCGACTATTACCATTCGAGTTCGTGTTACTGCTGCCGCCTAATGTTTTTCTTACTAGCAAAGGACTAGTGAGACGTGGCTGGACTTTAATCATTGTCGGATCCAAATCATCCGACTTCGCAGAATTATTGTTATATCTCAAGGTTTGGGTACACCCACCGGAATTATCCAAAAATTCAATGCGTTTTTTCGACGTATTATAATTTACATCATTTAGAGCGCGAGAACCATTTACACCATTCGAATTTTTCGCATAAGAACCGAGATAATCATTGCCATTGTTGTTGTTGCTGTTCGTGCGTTCAGAACTTAAACCGAAATCGAAATCAAAGTCTAAATCATGTTCAACACCGTTTTTATAACTACGTGACAGCGTCGCTGATGATGACGACGATGACGTCGTTTGCTTCGATGCTGTTGACGCCGTTGGCCTCAATGGCGTTGATGTTTTGCTAATTTGTCCATAACTGAATGGTAGCGAATTTTCACGGGCATGATATGGTATGCTACCATTGCTGCTGCTATTGTTGTTACTATTATTGTTGTTATTGTAGTTATAATTATTATTAGTATTTAACATTTTATTATTATAATTTATTGTTGTTGTTGTATTTTTCGTTTCGCCACGAGCGTATTCATCGTAATGCGACCGCATAGTTCGCGAATTATTTCAAGACTGCTGGGACGAAACCAAAAACTTTCGTTTCATTCACATATACGCTCAAATTGTTGGCCAAATCCCCACACAGAAAGAGCAACAAGTCCAATACAGCAGCAACAACAACAACAACGGCAAGAAGAGCCCCACAACATCATACACTCAAAAAAAAACGAGGAGAGTAGAGCATTCGTTTTATGTGTAGGTATTTCGCTCCACATAACAACACAAAAGGTGGGCATCTCTTTTATTTGCTGGGAGAGTGGTGAGAGAACATTTTGTCTTATCTCTTTGCAAAGGTATTGCAAAGAAATGCTCACAAATACATTCATTAGATCAAAACACCCATGTAAAAGAAACAAAAACATCAATTTGAGACCCACAATATATAGCAGAGGTGGAGGTGAACAGGTGGGGTATAAAAAAGGGGAAATAAATATCCATAAAATATTAAAAAAAACGTATTATTCAAGGCAGGGAAAACCGTAAAATTTAAATTAATAATTTTTATAAGATTTTTTTTTTTAATTTTTTCACTTCTCGTTTTGTTTTTCTATACAGCTTTTATCTTCAACTCAGCTGAATAAGGTTTCCTATAGGAAATCTTCAATTCAGCTTAGCTGAATAAGGTTTCCTATAGGAAATCTTCAATTCAGCTTAGCTTAATAAGGTTTCCTATAGGGAACTTTCAATTCATCTTAGCTGAATAAGGTTTCCTATAGGAAATCTTCAATTCAGCTTAGCTGAATAAGGTTTCCTATAGGAAATCTTCAATTCAGCCTGGCTGAATAAGAGTTTCAATAGAAAATCTTCAATTCAGCTTGGCTGAATAAGAATTTCCATAAGAAATCTTCAATTCAGCCTGGCTGAATAAGAGTTTCTATAGAAAATCTTCAATTCAGCCTGGCTGAATAAGAGTTTCTATAGAAAATCTTCAATTCAGCCTGGCTGAATAAGAGTTTCTTTACAAAATCTTCAATTCAGCCTGGCTGAATAAGAGTTTCTACACAAAATCTTCAATTCAGCCTGGCTGAATAAGAATTTCCATAGGAAATCTTCAATTCAGCCTGGCTGAATAAGAGTTTCTATAGAAAATCTTCAATTCAGCCTGGCTGAATAAGAGTTTCTATAGAAAATCTTCAACTCAGCCTGGCTGAATAACAGTTTCTTAGAAAATCTTCAACTCAGCCTGGCTGAATAACAGTTTCTATAGAAAATCTTCAATTCAGCCTGGCTGAATAAGAGTTTCTATAGAAAATCTTCAATTCAGCCAAGCTGAATAAGAATTTCTATAGAAAATCTTCAATTCGGCCTGGCTGAATAAGAGTTTTCCATACAAAAACAATTTCCATAGAATTTTTTAAACGTATTTTTTTTAATTTTTTTTCCCTCCTTAAACTACACCTCTGCTCACAAAATATCCCCATGAAATGTAGACATTAGAGCAATAGTGGCGGCAGCAACTACAACAACATACCCAACTACTCTGCAGTAAAATGCTAAACAAATTAAGATAGGCAATATATGTATGAGTGTGTGTGTGTGTTTGATTTAATGTTTTGCAAAGGTGTATAAGATAAACAAGCAAAATAGAGAAAAACAAAAACAGCAACAACAAAAACAATGATAATAACCACAATAAAATATTTGAGACTTTGATGCTTCTGGATGACTGGTTGGTTGGTAGGTTGAGTGGGGGCAAAAACACACAACAACAACAAAAATACACCCGACCCAACCGATCGACCGACCGACTGTCAGTCAAGTCAAGTATGAACGCGTATATTGAAACATATTGCTACTTTAACGAATAACATAAATTGTTGTTACTGTTGTTGTTGTTGTTGCTGCTGCTGTTGTTGGCTTTGTTTTGTATTCCAATAAACGCCACACAAACGACAAGCACAACAAGACGCGTAGTATTTTGCGCTAGTGATGTCATCTGGCACAAGTTGTTTTCTAAACTTGTTTGATAAGTGTGTGTGTGCGCGAGTATGTCTGTCCATCTGTTGGGACAGACACATTGATTTTGGCTCACAAAATACACAGATACAAGTCAAACAAAAGCAGGCAATGTGGAATATATCAATCGTATTAATGCAAATTTCTCAGAGAGCAAAACCAGAGAGAGCGGGAGTAAGAGAGTGAGCAATTTTAATTTTTTTCAATGAGGGACATAACTTGAAATACTCAGAGATCCAAGTTTTCTTGCGGTTAAAGATCAAAATATGAATTCAGAGCAACGAGAGATTAAGAGCGTGATACTGAGAAAGAAGGGGGGCAATGAGCAAACAATAGACAGGGATGCCAACTTTACTAAAGAAAATATGGCAAATTTCATTAAAACTAATAAAATAAATTTAATTCAAACTTGCTGAATAAGTGTTTCTATAGAAAATCTTCTATTCAGCCTGGCTGAATAAGAGTTTCTATAGAAAATCTTCAATTCAGCCCGGCTGAATAAGAGTTTCTATAGAAAATCTTCAATTCAGCCCGGCTGAATAAGAGTTTCTATAGAAAATCTTCAATTCAGCCTGACTGAATACAAGATTCTATAGAAAATCTTCAATTCAGCCTGGCTGAATACGAGTTTCTATAGAAAATCTTCAATTCAGCCTGGCTGAATACGAGTTTCTATAGAAAATCTTCAATTCAGCCTGGCTGAATACGAGTTTCTATAGAAAATCTTCAATTCAGCCAGGCTGAATAAGAGTTTCTTTAGAAAATATTCAATTCAGCCCCAGCTAAATAAGAGTTTCTTTAGAAAATCTTCAATTCAGCCTTGCTGAATAAGAGTTTCTATAGGAAATCTTCAATTCAGCCTGGCTGAATAAGAGTTTCTATAGGAAATCTTCAATTCAGCCTGGCTGAATAAGAGTTTCTATAGGAAATCTTCAATTCAGCCTGGCTGAATAAGAGTTTCTATAGGAAATCTTCAATTCAGCCTGGCTGAATAAGAGTTTCTATAGAAAATCTTCAATTCAGCCTGGCTGAATAAGAGTTCCTATAGGAAATCTTCAATTCTGCCTGGCTGAATAAGAGTTCCTATAGGAAATCTTCAATTCAGCCTGGCTGAATAAGAGTTCCTATAGGAAATCTTCAATTCAGCCTGGCTGAATAAGAGTTTCTATAGGAAATCTTCAATTCAGCCTGGCTGAATAAGAGTTCCTATAGGAAATCTTCAATTCAGCCTGGCTGAATAAGAGTTTCTATAGAAAATCTTCGATTCAGCCGGGCTGAATAAGAGTTTCTATAGGAAATCTTCAATTCAGCCAGGCTGAATAAGAGTTTCTATAGGAAATCTGCAATTCATCCCGGGTGAATAATATTTTCTATAGAAAATCTTCAATTCAGCCTGGCTGAATAAGAGTTTCTATAGAAAATCTTCAATTCAGCCTGGCTGAATAAGAGTTTCTATAGAATATCTTCTATTCAGCCACGGCTGAATAAGAGTTTCTATAGAAAATCTTCAATTCAGCCTGGCTGAATAAGAGTTTCTTTAGAAAATCTTCAATTCAGCCTGGCTGAATAAGAGTTTCTTTAGAAAATCTTCAATTCAGCCTGGCTGAATAAGAGTTTCTTTAGAAAATCTTCAATTCAGCCTGGCTGAATAAGAGTTTCTATAGACAATTTTCAATTCAACCTGGCTGAATAAGAGTTTCTATAGACAATTTTCAATTCAGCCCCAGCTGAATAAGAGTTTCTTTAAAAAAATTTCAATTCAGCCTGGCTGAATAGGAGTTTATGTTGAAAATCTTCAATTCAGCGCGGCTGAATAAGGTTTTCGTTAGGAAATCTTCACTTCAGCATGGCTGAATAAGAGTTTCTGTAGAAAATCTTCCATTCAGCTAGGTTGAATAAGAATTTTTAAACCCATTATAACTTCCCATTCCTGTTTGCGAAATATCATGTGGTTTTTGTTAAGTTATAGAGGATAAAAACTAACCAAACCCCAATTCAGCCTGGCTGAATACGAGTTTCTATAGAAAATCTTCAATTCAGCCTGGCTGAATACGAGTTTCTATAGAAAATCTTCAATTCAGCCTGGCTGAATACGAGTTTCTATAGAAAATCTTCAAATCAGCCTAGCTGAATAAAAGTTTCTAAGTTTCTGAATAAGAATTTCTATAGAAAATCTTCAATTCAGCCTGGCTAAATAAGAGTTTTTATAGAAAATCTTCAATTCAGCCTGGCTGAATAAGAGTTTCTATAGAAAATCTTCAATTCAGCCTGGCTGAGTAAGAGTTTCTATAGAAAATCTTCAATTCAGCCTGGCTGAGTAAGAGTTTCTATAGAAAATCTTCAATTCAGCCTGGCTGAGTAAGAGTTTCTATAGAAAATCTTCAATTCAGCCAGGCTGAATAAGAGTTTCTTTAGAAAATATTCAATTCAGCCCCAGCTAAATAAGAGTTTCTTTAGAAAATCTTCAATTCAGCCTTGCTGAATAAGAGTTTCTATAGGAAATCTTCAATTCAGCCTGGCTGAATAAGAGTTTCTATAGGAAATCTTCAATTCAGCCTGGCTGAATAAGAGTTTCTATAGGAAATCTTCAATTCAGCCTGGCTGAATAAGAGTTTCTATAGGAAATCTTCAATTCAGCCTGGCTGAATAAGAGTTTCTATAGAAAATCTTCAATTCAGCCTGGCTGAATAAGAGTTCCTATAGGAAATCTTCAATTCTGCCTGGCTGAATAAGAGTTCCTATAGGAAATCTTCAATTCAGCCTGGCTGAATAAGAGTTTCTATAGGAAATCTTCAATTCAGCCTGGCTGAATAAGAGTTTCTATAGAAAATCTTCGATTCAGCCGGGCTGAATAAGAGTTTCTATAGGAAATCTTCAATTCAGCCAGGCTGAATAAGAGTTTCTATAGGAAATCTTCAATTCATCCCGGGTGAATAATATTTTCTATAGAAAATTTTCAATTCAGCCTGGCTGAATAAGAGTTTCTATAGAAAATCTTCAATTCAGCCTGGCTGAATAAGAGTTTCTATAGAAAATCTTCAATTCAGCCTGGC